GGAACCGCTGGAGACATGAGAGGGACTGTGGGAGAGGGACTCCCCTTCCTGGACCTCCCCACAGCCTGGGCAACATAAGGTACTGTGTCTTGATTCCCCCCTTTGAGAACCTCCTACCTAGCAGTAAGAACCAGGGTGAAAAGGAAAGCGTGCATGGAATGACCTAAAGAGACAAGGGGAATGAATGTCAGAAGAACCAACCCAAGACCGTTCTTCAGGACCAAACCCTTCCAGTCAACCAAATATTGAATTCGACCCCTAGAAATACGAGAATCAAAAATGGCCTTCACTTCTTATTCTTTCTGATCCTCAACATGGACAGGAGAAGGAATGTCAATGAGCCTAGTGTATCGATTGTATGTTAGAGGTTTCAATAAAGATACATGGAAAGAATTAGGAATACGTAATGTAGGAGGAAGCAGTAATTTATAAGCCACAGGATTGATACGTTGTATGACTTTGTAAGGACCAATATACCTGGGGCAAGCTTCATCGATGACACTTTCAGGTGGATATTCTTTGTGCTTAGCCAGACCTTATCACCCAATTGATTTACAGGAGCACTATATATGAGGTGAGGTAGAGGCAAATAATATGCCTACTAAATAACAGTCTGACAAAAAACAATTAGACCTGTGCTGCAGTGGCTCCAACACTGTAGTCCCAGCAGTGTATAATTGCAAACAATAAAGGAAAAGGATTCCTGCACATCCAGTTTAAGTGGGCATACCCAGGTGCTACCATGGTTTAGTTGAGGACAAAGTACAAACAGCAAACATTTCGGGCGAAAGCCCTTTCTCAATACTAATGTCCTATAGTATATACAAGATACAGACAATATATAAACAAATAAAGTGCTTACATAACCCAAAGTGCCGCCCCCAAGTAATCAAATACACCAACAGGAACAGGTGTGTGGTAAATTTCCATAACTCTGGCACGTTTGACACCCCCAGTCACTTCCCGGATCAGCTGATAGGTGCGTGATGACATCAGACGTCACATGCGTCGCGTGTGACATCATCACGTTCCATGGCTAGGCGACTGGTAAAGAAATATACAATCGTCTGAAATACAGGAACAGGATGCCGTTGTTTATCAGCATGTTTTTTTGTATAAACCAGAAGTGTTTGACAGGATGTAAATGAGCTTGTTCCCACATCCTTTTTAGGTTTGCCACATGTTCTTCTGCCAGCGGCAGTTCTGCAAAGAAAATGCGAATAGAAGAACCAGTGGATTAAAACCAAGGTTAATAAAGAGCGGACTGTGGCGAGTAGCCTCACAGACCACATTATTATGTGCAAATTCAGCCCAGGGAACAAGGTCAACCCAACTATCCTGATATACATCGCAAGTATTGTTCCAACTTTTGATTGGTTCATTCAGCTGCTCCGTTAGATTGGGGATAATAAGCCAAGGAAAAGCTGAGCGTGATACCCAACTGTGCACAGAAAGCATTCCAAAAACAAGAAATAAACTGTGTCCCCCTGTCTGATACAATTTCTTTGGGTATGCCATGTAACCAAAACACCTCTTTGGCAAAGATCATGGCCAATGCAGGTGAAGAAGGCAATTCTATTAAGGGAACAAAATGGGCAATTTTGGAAAGCCTATCAACTATCGTTAAGATGACAGTATGTTTCTCTGATACAGGCAAGTCAAGAATAAAATCAATAGCAATGCTTTCCCATGGCTTGTGGGGTATATCTAAAGGTTGTAAGAATTCACAAGGGAGGGTACATGGTAATTTGGTTTTGGCACACACATCACATGTCAAAACATACTCTTTAATATCCTTACGTAAGGAAGACCACCAATATTAAGAAGCTATCAGAGAGTACGTCTTGTTTATGCCTTGGTGACCAGCTATTTTACCATCATGGTAAAAGGTAAGTATATCCTTTTGATACTCTGGAGGTACGTATTGTTTGGCCATAGGTATGTGTTTAGGTGCCTGGTGTTGTTTGGCTTCTATGTTACCAACGAGTTTGGAATTTATCCTAACGTAAGTATTAGCCACTATCCTATGTGTGGGCACAATAGCTGCTTCTTCTGTGACAAGGCAGGTGTGAGGTTCGTACTGACAAGACAAGGCATCAGCTTTAGTGTTTTTAAATCCAGGCCTATCAGTTAGTATATATATATATATTTTGCTAGAAAAAGAGACCAACATGCCTGTCTAGCGTATAACCTCTTAGCCTCTCCAAGATAAGATAAAAAGTCCAATAGAGCATGTTTTCATAAATGTTTTATTTTTGTATTAGACAGCTATTGAGCCAAGCATAGCCACTATTGGTAAGGATCTGCTGCAGACCCCGGCCCTGCTGGGAACATCATTCCATGAGACCAGAGCTTACACCTCGATGTGAGGTCTGAGGTGGAACGCACTGTGACATGCACACCTTCCACACCAGTTGTCAGGATACAGAAGATCCATCTACTCCTACAATCCTCATCATCAGGGTCTGGAATTAAGGTTTTCTGGCTATCTTGCTACACTCTGATTTTTATTCTTATTTTTATATTTGAAGGATTTTTAATAAATATATCAGTTTGATCAATATTTCCAGTTGCTTTTTACTTTTTACAAGCGCTCTTGTGATATTGCATTAAATGTTTTTAGCAATCAGTTCCTCATACTGATATGCTTTGTCCTATGTGGACCTAATACACTTCTTTTATATCTATATAGAAGTATATTATTTGTCATCAGTACCACCAGCCCTGCGTTGTTTTCACAAGCAGGGTTAGGGATACTCATGCTATATATATATCTTTTTTGGACTTTTGAAGGTTCCATTGATTTGCTGAATGTATATTTAACCGTTACCTAGATTGACAATTTGCATTATATTAATTACATGTATTAGGTTTTTAGCTCCTTTACACTCACACTGTAGTTTATAGTGTGTTTCTTTCTATTGCTAGATTCATGTATGCAGTTCTGAAGATACATCCTCTGACCAAACCAGTATATCTGCCATGAGATTTATCTTTGGTTTTAAAGGCACTTAAATCTGACCCATTTGAACCCATGGAATTAATTTCCCTAATTTACTGACTATCAAAACAGTAGTTCTCTTGGTAGCACTGGGCTCAGGCAGATGAGTATCACAACTTCAATTGCTCTCCAGAACAGAACACATTACAGTTTTTCACAATAACATGGCCATTCTAAGAACGGTTCCAGAATTCAAGGCCCAAAGTCCCATCATCCATTCATATTAATGAGCAGATTATTCTTCCAGCTTTAAATGTATCCTCGGAAGATCCAGAACATTCTGAGATTCTTATTAGCGTTAGACCTGGTGAGATGTCTGAAAATATGTCTGAAAATATATGTGGGCAGATCTAAAGAAGCCCTAGGTTGATGGATAGTTTCTGCTATCATTCAAGCCTACAAGGCTGCTCAGATTCCGATTCCTGATGGGCTTAAAGCCCACTCTATCAGGTCCCTCTTCCTCTTCCTCTTCCTGGGCTGCAAGTGCAAAAGTCTCTCTGGACATTATTTGTAGGGCCACCACATAGTCCTCTATTAATACTTTTATAAGGCATTATCATTTGGAGTGAGTTTGGAAAACGTGTTATTTCTATTTCTAATATTTAAAAGGACACTACAGAACAACTACAGCTTAGAATTTGTTCTGGTGAGTAGAATCATTACCTTCAGGCTTTTTTGCTGTAAACACTGTCTTCAGAGAAAATGCAGTGTTTACATTACAGCCTAGGTTTCTTCCACCCTCCCCTGTCCCATTGTGGTCTTCTCCCCCTCCCCTGCCCCATAGTGTTCTTCCCCCCTCCCCTGCCCCATAGTGTTCTTTCCCCACTCTCCCCCATAGTGTTCTTACCTCACCCTCCCCCATAGTGTTCTTTCCTCAACCTCCCCGGTCCTATAGTGTTCTTTCCTGCCCCCTCCCCATAGTGTCCTCCCCAATCCCATAGTGTTCCTTTCTCCCATCCCTTAGTGCCCCTTTCTCTTCCCCCCATGGCTCCCGGGGTGTCTCCTACCTTTCTTGTAGTGTGGCCGCGCGGAGCAGACTGCGGTACCAGAGCTTCAGTTTCCTGTACCCGGCTGAACTGACAGAAAGTGCTCTCTCAATGAGCACTTCCTTTCAGTCCGGCCGGGTACAGGAAACAGAAGTTCTTATACCGTGGTAGCGCACTGCTTGTCTCAGCCATGCTAAACTGAGTGAATGGTAGGAGGGAGAGCTGTGCGGCCACCTTCTGACGGTCACTCTGATCTAGTGCGTCCTGGGCCGGTGTACTCTAAGGTGGCCACTTGTGCCGCCTTATGAACGTGCCGGCCCTGCATGGACATAATCTATACACAAAAACTTTTTCATTAAGCTAAGTTGATTTGGTGACTACAGTGCCCCTTAAAGAAAAGAACATCCATGATGGGATAATTATGTCATGTGTCCTTAGGGGTGTAACTGCTGGTACCCCTATTTACCACTACAAAATCTTAAAACAAAGAATTTAGCAGGACTAACTGTAAAGATATATTTAGCATAAAATATTATGTAGTTGGTAAGAGTTTCTCTATTTACATCATATAAATAATTGAGAATACAATAACAAGTAGGGATTGTCTTGAAAGCAATAAAGGTTTGTATTTTAAAATACTTTATTAAAATATAAATATATATAAACATATAAAAACATAATAATCCATTATAATAATTTACAACAGAGTTTATATGATTAAAGTATATGCTTGTAATATCAGTAAAATAGAATAACATATCCAGTTGAAAAAGTCAACCTCTCATTCTTGTAAAGTGGAGCAGCGTCTTTGCATCCAAAATTTCCCCCTCTGTTTCCTAATATTAATAAATATACTTACTTGTACCCTAGATTTTAAATAGGTTTTGTTAATAAATCAGAAAAACAATGTAATCCACTTTAACTTGACAAGGTTGTGGCAGAACCAGCTTCGCCACTGTGCATTGGACTGATTGCCAGCCTCCTGCCCTGTGACTATGGCCCCATGTTGAAATGCTTGATTTTCCCCTGCAAAGACCTGAAAGCCGGGTCATTCGGTACTTGCCCTATATGAACCCCAGATAGCTATGCCATGGAGCCCATTCGTATAACAAAAACTATGTGAAAGACTTTGGTTGCATGGCAATTGAACTGTATGTATGTGATCTGAGCGCCATTCAGTAATAATCTATCTGGGGATATGTTGAATGTACCTGTTTTATGCAAGAGCTGCACAGTTAAATATTTTTATGTATTTTATTGTCTTTTGCTACCATGTGTTCAATGGAGTTTTGCCTATTTCCTTGGAGATAATTGGATTACTTCCCAATTATCTCCAGGATAGAAGACTCTGTGGAACTGGTTTTGGGCAGAAAATAAATGCTTCATTTGGTCACAAAGGACGTCGATCTAACTTTTGACCCACTGGACCAATTTGTATGATTTTGACGTGTGATTGTGAGGCATACTTTTAAAGTTATAAATATTGTGTAAAACTGTGTATTTTCCTGCCTGGTATAATTATATTAACCCATTGTGTAAGGTAATTGTATCACAGGCAGAGGGGAGGATTTTGTGTGGGAGTGTCTGTGTGTATTGTACGTATTGATTGGTTGTTCTGCCAAACCCTGTGGGCAGTGCTATGTTTGTAAAATGGGCATAAAAGCAGAGTGTTGGATTAAAAACTTCAGTTCTACTTCACCCTCAATTTGGAGTGCCGTCCCTTATTGGGAAAATCTGCTACAAGGGATTGCTATGCTAGTCATACTCCCTTGCTATATCACTACTAAGCTCTTATAAGAGCTTGTTCCTGTCTTGCTCTCTGAAGGAGTCTACGGTGGTTATGGTGTCAGCTGGAGTGCTTGGAGCCCTCAGGAAGCGCTAGGAGCATCCTTCAACGGAGGTACCCAGTCAGGGTGCCTGTCGATCCGTTACAAAGGTCATGACCATTGAATGACGCGGCCTTGACTTGGTCATTTCACATGGGAACATCTTAATCAGTCTATGGTCATGGCCTAGACATCTTATCTATGTTTGGACTAAACCTTAAGGTTGAACATGACATAGGCAATGCCTTGACTTGGTGTTACATTGATCTTGGAAAAAATGGCCTCTTAAAGTCTAAATATCTTATGCACTGAATATGTGTAAGAGGTCATTGTATGAGAATTAAGGTGTTCCATTTCGAACATCTTGTCAGTTTGCAAAAGCTCTTAAATACAAAGTACACAGTTTAAGAAATACAACTTTTCAGTCTAAAAACCTGTACTATTTGATAATGTCCATATTGCTATTGCTCAGCTAATTATGTTCTATAAAATAATCTAATATTCTATAATCTAATAATCTAAACACTTAATACAAACTAGTACCGCATAAAGATTGTTTAGTATTTAATTCGGGCCTGAATATTATAATATAGCACTTGGGTAAAAATATACACCCCAAAATCCCTGTGCTGGAAGCCAGGATAGCAAATACTTCTACAGCAACCATAGATTTCCCTTTGGTGCTCATATATGCTGGGATAAATGAGACCCAAACACTGCAGAACACAAGCATACTAAAAGTGATATAACGGGCCTCGTTAAATAGATCTGGCAACTGCTTGGCTAGAAAAGCTACAATAAAACTACAAAGTGCAAGGAACCAATTATAACCTAGAGCAACATAAAACAAAAAGAGAGAGCCAACATTGCAATGAAGTATTAGCTTAGCAACTTCCACTTTTGAGTCTTTGTCAGGGAATGGAGGCCAGGATGTTAACCACCAGAAGCAGATTCCAACTTCACCGAAGCAAAAGAACACCGCTATAAAGATGGATACCCTGGATCTTAAAAATATCCTGAGTTTGCTCCCAGGCTTTACAACTGAAAAGGCTACTAAAACTATAATTGTTTTTGTCAGAACAGATGACAGAGCCACAGCATAGATTATGTTAAAAATTGCGTTTTGCAGCAAGCATGTGATCTTATTAGGCGAGCCAAAAAATAACAAGCAAAAAAGGAAGGAAAGCATGAGAGAAAATAGAATGATGTAACTTAGATACGTATTATTGGCTCGTACTATGGGTGTATGTCTGTACATTATAAAAATACCAAGTATGACAGTTGTGATGAAAAATAGCATTACTGCAAATGATGCTAAAGTTGCACCAAGAGGTTCATGGTAGGTTAAAAAATCTATGGTTCTCGGCAGACAAGTGACTTGATCAACATCAGGATATTCATCTTCTGGACACAGCAAACAATTTTCCATATCTGAAATTAAAAATAAAAATTGATTAAGAAATGGGTGGTCAGACATGAGATGAAATATAATCTATTGGAAGTCTTCTTAACAAGATCTACCATCTGATCACCATGGTACTTTGTCAACAATAACTGTTCCTACTCTGCACTCTCCAATACACACAGACATACTGGCATGCCTTCACTCTCTCACATACAGTCATACCCGCACCCTCCCATATATAGTTACATAGCTGAAAAGAGACTTGCATCCACCAAGTTCAGCCTTCCTCACATTTGTTTTTTGCTGTTGATCCAAAAGAAGGCAAAAAAAAAAGTTTGAAGCACTTTTTTTCACAATTTTGCAACAAACTGGGAAAAAAATCCTTCTTGACCCCAGAATGGCAGTCAGATTTATCCTTGTATCAGGCAGGTATTACCCTACATTGAAAAATTATTTCCTTGAATAGTCTGTTTTTACAAGTATGCATATAGTTGCTGTTTGATCATCTGTATGGACTCTGATAAAACCACTTTTCAGGCTGAGAATTCCACATCCTTATTGTTCTTACCGTAAAAAAAACTTTTCTTTACCTTAGACAAAATCTTCTTTCTTCCATTCTTAACGCATGACCTTGTGACCTATGTAAAGTCCGGTTTGTGAATAGATTTCCACACACTGATTTGTATTGGCCGCAAATATATTTGTATAATGTTATCATATGCTCTCTCAGGCAAAATTTTCTAAACTAAAGAGCTTTAAATTTGTTAACATTTCTTCATAGCTGATATGTTCCATTCCTTTTATTAATTTTGTAGCCCGCCCCTGCACTTTTTCTAGTGCCATAATATCCTTCTTTAGAACAGGTGCCCAAAATTGCACAATATATTCAATATGTGGTCTTACCAGTGATTTATAAAGAGGCAAAATTATATTCTTATCCCGAGAATGAATGCCCTTTTTCATGCATGACAATACCTTACTGGACTTAGCCACTGCTGATTGACATTGCACATTGTTGCATAGTTTGTTGTCTATAACAATTCCCAAGTCCTTTTCGTGTGTTGTTATCCCTAATTAGTTTCCATTAAGGGTATACAGTGCTTGTGCATTCTTTACAACCGAAGTGCATAACTTTGCATTTTTCAAGATTACAATTCATCTGCCATTTGAGTGCCCAGTCCAACAGTCTATCTAAATCCCTCTGCAGCAAAGTAATATCTTGCTCACATTGTATTACTTTATATACACAGAGCATTCCCACATTATTATATAGTAAAAATACACAGATGGGTCAGCGTTCAGTAACACAGAAGAATGAACAAAAAGACCTCAACCCTAAAAAAGGGATCCCTCTCAACCCTATAGGATAATACAAAAGTAAAAGACAGTTAAGGGCTGCGCCACATGTTATACGATAAAAAAGATAAAGTAAAATATAAAATAAATACTGTGAGTCTTATTCCAGATGTGGAAATTGTCACATATAAAAGTGTCTCTTATTCAGGAGGTAGTTTCCACTGTGGTTCCTAGGTTCTTTATACTTGGGAGGTCTTGTTGTCTTTAGTCTCCGTATGTGGGTGAGAAAGAGACAGAATAACCTGATAGTGCAGTAAGTCAGGGCTAAGTAGGCCTGTTATTAATAATAATATTATTGTGCTCGCCTATAATGGTATAATCCCCATGTATGGAATATGGTGGTGGTAGGTCTCGACTAGTAGTTGTCTAGATGCTCGGAGAGAAAATAAGAATAGCCACAGATAGAGCTCTCAGTAAGACACAGATAGTGCTCTCAGTAAGACAATAATAACAGTGTTGAATATAAAAATTGTACTTACAAACGAAGAGCAGGCTCACTGTTCTGTGGTGAAAGCATCGGTGGTATAATTCCCCCCTAGGATTTGCTTGGGAGTAGTAGAAGATGAAGTTAAAAATTTGGAGATAAGAATAATAATAATAAGTAATAAAATATATTATTATTTAAAAAGCCAGGAAAAATGTATAAATAAAAGGGTATTGGTTCAATAAAATGTTGTAATACCAAAGTCCTTTATTATATCAGATAAAAAAAGTAATTTCCATAATGCGTTTCGTCATAACAGGCTTTTTCAAATGGATTAGAGCATGCATCCTGGCTAATAGGCTTTAAATAAGGTTTAGATCATTTAGGGGCGGTTCTTAATTCGCTGCATTTTGTCGCTTAAAAAATATAATAGGAGGGGATATTAAATATAAACAGAGTGGATGTGAGTAGGCTGCAAATGCATCAGAAATACACACACCCCCAATATTGCTGATGCATTTGCAGCCTACTCACATCCACTCTGTTTATATTTAATATCCCCTCCTATTATATTTTTAAAGCGGCAAAATGCCGCAAATTAAGAACCGGCCCTCGCCAAGTATGTACCGCCAACTTCCTACTATGTTTACACTCCCACTCTATTTCCCAAGCTGGAAGATGCCTCGAATCATGGACCGCCCCTCAACAAGTGCGCACCATCCACTAGTTTCACGGCCGCACACGCCCACACCAGTGATGTAATGAACAGCCACCCTAAGCCCCTAAAAAATGCCGGAAACTACATTTCCCATGCGGCAAAGTGCCGCGAATCACATGACCACCTTCCCCACACATATTAAACACTATAACACCCTAGTTTTTTTATCTTAATTATCACTTAACACTTCTTATACCTATACTTTAAAGTGCCAATGGTTAATTTATTCATTTTATGTTATTATTATTATTATTCTAAACTATGATTGATGCACACAATTTTGGCACCATTTTTAAATGATCTTAACCTTATTTAAAGCCTATTAGTCAGGATGCATGCTCTAACCCATTTGAAAAAGTCTGTTATGACCAAACGCGTTATGGAAATTATGTTTTTTTATCTGATATAATAAAGGACTTTGGTTTTACAACATTTTATTGTACCAATACCTCTGTATTTATACATTTTTTCCTGGCTTTTTAAATAATAATATATTTTATTACTTATTATTATTATTATTATCTCCAAAGTTTTAACTTCATCTGCTACTACTCCCAAGCAAACCCTAGGTGGGGATTATACCACCAACGCAGTCACCACAGAACAGTGAGCCTGCTCTACGTTTGTAAGTACAATTTTTATATTCAACACTATTATTATTGTCTTACTGAGAGCACTATCTGTGGCTATTCTTATTTTCTCTCTGAGCATCTAGACAACTACCAGTCGAGACCTACCACCACCATATCACATAAATGGGGATAATACCACTATAGGCGATCTACACTAGAGCTGGTTATAGCTCTCTTAAATGCGAGTGGAATACTATTATTATTAATAACAGGCCTAATTAGCCCTGACTTACTGCACTATCAGGTTATTCTGTATACAGAGCCTAAAGACAACAAGACCCCCCAAGTATAAAGAACCTAGGAACCACAGTTGAAACTAGCTCCTGAATAAGAGACAATTTTAAGACTCACAGTATTTATTTTATTTTATATTTTACTTTATTTTTTTATCGTATTACATGTGGCGCAGCCCTTAACTGTCTTTTACTTCCACATTATTGTATGCATGTATTTGTTTAGTCTCCCACATATACATAAATAAAACTACTCATTCTCTCATATACATTAGTTTAAGTATAATTAATCTTCTGTAGCATCTATGTTTTCCCTGGTGAGAGGTAACCGTGAACTCTCTCACGACAGAGCCCACTCAGAGCTCTATTAATAGTGTTATGAAATAGTGGAATAAGAGGAGGCTGTTTTGCCTCCAATTGACATAATCACCAGAGTACTACAACAAATGGGTAACTGAATGGCCTTTTTTCTATATTTTACTATATACCCATTGGAAAATACGGAGGAATATCCTTTACAAGCTATATCCTTGAGCGGGGATTATACCGATGCGTATGTTGTGAAGATAACGTAAGACATACCAGTGTCCCTACAAAGACTTTGCTGTGATTCTTCAGCTAATATCCTGTGACAAGGATTATATTGTCAGAAGCAGATACAATCAAGCCAACAGACGGCTTCTTGTTTGTGAGTGTATTTTTATAAATAATATTGCTTCTGCACTGGTTATAAACAATATCAAACTATTATTTGTTCCCTCTGTTATTTATTGTCATTTCATATCTTGGAACCTATCTTAAAGGACCACTCTAGGCACCCAGACCACTTCAGCTTTATGAAGTGGTCTGGGTGCCAGGTCCAGCTAGGGTTAACCCATTTTTTAATAAACATAGCAGTTTCAGAGAAGAGCACGCCAGCGTCCATAGGAAAGCATTGTAAATGCTTTCCTATGCGACTGGCTGAATGCGCGCGCAGCTCTTGCCGCGTGTGCGCATTCAGCCGGCGGGGCGGAACGGAAGAGGATCGGAGGAGAAGAGCTCCCCGCCCAGCGCTGGAAAAAGGTAAGTTTAAACCCCTTTCCCCTTTCCAGAGCCGGGCGGGAGGGGGACCCTGAGCGTGGGGGCACCCTCAGGGCACTATAGTGCCAGGAAAACGAGTATGTTTTCCTGGCACTATAGTGGTCCTTTAATCGGTGAAATACATTGAACTACCTACTACAACTATCATCGTTATCAAGGACTTTCTTATTATTTTACAAGGATCTTTGTAACTATAGATTCCAGTTACTACTACTTGCATACACATGTATACCTTAGTAATACCAGTAATGTCTGGTTATTTTTTTATATATATATTGTTTAACCTCAGAACAAGAACTTTCTGTCTCACCCCTGTAGAGACAAGTTTTATCTTAGGGCAGTATGTTTTTTTTGTTTTTTTCTCCCATTGGAACTGTGGGATGTACAGGTTTTTGGAACTAATCACTCTTGATCCCTGTTTTTACCTTCTCCCTTGCTGGGAGGATACAGTTGTTCTTTTATTATTATTATTCCTATTATTATTGGTATTCATAGAGTGCCAACTAGTTCCGCAGAGCTTTACATCCCAGGATTCATGGAATTTGATAGTTTCACGTTTAAATGGTTATTCCAACCAAAACATAGTTTTTTCATAAAGTACTTGCTGTGCTAGTCAGTCTTTTTAAAAAAAAAATATGGATATAATTAAAGGGACACTCCACGGCCAAAATAAAAAATAAATAAAAATCGCTGTTTAGAATATATATTCCAAATGACAACATGTATGCATTTAATTATGCAATTTTGTCATCGAGGTTTAATGTAAAAGCAGCATGCAAAACCTGCAGTTAACTTGTCTGTAGCCTTTGCAAGCCCTCCCCTACTAAGCCCTCCTAGATTTTATGTGGCTTTCCAATCACAGATTTACCAATGAAGCTCAATAAGAAATCTTTGCAAGACAGGTGCTCAATTGCTGCCTCTTGAGTTTATCTTAATTGAGGGGGGTGGGGGAGGGGAAGAAGGGGTAGCCAGCTTAATTAATAAAAGTGTAAATTTCTACTGAAATCTGTACTTTATGCTAATTGAAAAAAGAGGTCACACTCTTCACACATAAAACTTGTCTGCAAGCTAAAGTGCATTAGGGGTATGGAGTGTCCCTTTAAGCTAAACTTTAGGCCAAGTTCTCCCCTCAGCCCAATCCTTTATTCTAAAATCAGTACCCTTACTGGAAGGGGAGAGATTTTAATGAGGGTGAGCTTGCTACTGATGCCCCAATGATGCTGCCGGAGGTGGAGTTCATTTTGCACGTACAGAATCCAGGCAACAAGGACTGCGTCAAATCACTGATATTGTCAAGGTACTTGGATTAACATTTTAAGTCAATCTTGTAATACTTAATCTATCTATTTCTTATGTCCAATATAGTCAACATGTTCTTTGATTTATTCATTTTTTCAAGCCTTATTGCAGGTTTTTTCTGCTTAATTGAATGGTATTTTAGATGATGGCTCTGCAAAGTTGCACTCTTTTCCAGATTTTATTCTGGAAAGATATAGGTCACCTCCTCATAGTTTATGGACTAATGTACAATTTCCATGCAGCCTTATTGTTTATATTTCCTTTACGTTTGTTATCTTACCTTCTTTTAAAATTCATATTCCCATAGCATTTTATTGCTGCGAGGTGAAATGAAATTTGGACTTGAGTGTTTTTCACAGTTATAAACTGGGTCCCCTAGAGCTCCACTCTCACAATAGGCCAGCACTCTCCTTATTCCTGAATTTGTTTGATTTTTTAAAACAGAAATAATACTCCTACATTCACCTCTGAAATTAGCCAGTACAGTTGTAGCTTTCTCCCCTTTCCTATCATCATTCGTTCTTACCAGTTTGATTGGATATTTCACCAGGTGAGCACTGAACACAAGAATAGCAGCACATTTCTTCTCTTAGATTTGCTTTTCTGTACCCAGGTGGGCATCTCTCATTGCACATAGATTCAGGGATCTAAAAAAAAAAAAATAATACAAAGAGATATAATAGACTACAAATAAATGTCCAATTATGACATATTAACTTTCAATGCTTGAAAAGTGTTTATTTTCATTTTAATATTTATCACATTGACTACAAAAATATTTGCTTTTAAATAAGTATAGCACAATATATTTTATTGTTTTTATTTATTTGAAAGATGTCACAAATAGCAGAAGAATGTAGGATAAAAGAGCAATTGTGTGTATATATTGCGTTTCAGAAATGCCTGCTAAATAACTATATGTATATTTACACAGTTTTAACTTTTTTTTGTTCAACCCCTTAAGGACTGAGCCAAATGTACACGTTGTGATCAAAACAAAAACTTGAATTTGCGCTATATGTCTGTTCAGGCGTAATTCGCCTCTTTCATGTTATGCACCCACACTTATTATATATCATTTTATTCAGGGGAAACAGGGCTTTCATTTAACATCAAATATTTAGTTATGAAACATAATTTAATATGAATAAAATATTTTAAAAAATGGGAGAAAATAAGTATTTTAAAAATATTTTTAGTTCTACTTGACATTTTAACTGTTAATGTCATAATACTGTTTGTTTTTACTGCAATAAAATACACATATTTGTATCCAGCGATGTCTCACATGTAAAACAGTACCCCCTATGTACAGGTTTTATGGTGTTTTGGGAAGTTACAGGGTCAAATATAGCATGTTACATTTTTCTGTTTTTTCACATTGAAATTTGCCAGATTGGTTACGTTGCCTTTGAGACCGTATGGAAGCCCAGGAATGAGAATTACCCCCATGATGGCATACCATTTGCAAAAGTAGACAATCCAAGGTATTACAAATACTGGAGTATGTCCAGTCTTTTTTAGTAGCCACTCGGTCACAAACACTGGCCAAAGTTAGTGTTAATATTTGTTTGTGTGTGAAAAATGCAAAAAACTAATTTGAAAGCCAAATTTGGCCCGTGTTTGTGACTAAGTGGCTACTAAAAAAAAACTGGACATACCCCATTCAACATTTCAGCCATCATCCGTGGCTTTCATCAGGATCAGTTCAGCAAAAAAAAAAAAAAAGCTGAACTGATCCTGATGAAAGCCACGGATGATGGCTGAAACGTTGATTCTACCAGAAAGTATGTTTTAAGAAATATGGAATAAAGAAAGAAAACTTTTATACAAGAAAAAGACCGTGAGTGCAAGCCTTCATTTACTAGTTTTACTTATGTATATAGATATATATATATATATTATTTCGTTCTACATGTATTTTGATATCAATATATATATTCATTTTAAAATACAGTTAGAACGAATTTACACATATATATATATATATTTTTTTTTTACGTATTTACATTATTATATATATATATATTATCAATATCATTGTATGTGTATTTTGATATTAATATATATAAATATATATATTAATATTAAAATACACTTAGACAGAGTATGAGTATGTATGTATATGTGTAGATATTTACTTATATCTTATATATAATAAATATATATATATATATATATATATATATATATATGATCTAAGTATATATTTTATTTTTAACTGTAACTTTAACTTTTTTTTTACTATTTACAGGCAGCAGGAGGAGTACCTGTCATTACAGGCACTCCCCCTGCTGGCATTGCTATGGATGGCTATGCCGTCCATGTGATCGTGAGGTCCCCGCAAGAACCTTGCTATCACATGGCCCAGGAGGGCCGTAACAGACGGAGGGGGGCTCCCTGGGCTCCCAGGTGAGTCCCCACACCGCGATCGCCAGTGTGGGATTGCTGGAGACCGGGTAAGTACATACGATGGCTTGTGCGTTCTATAGAACCTTAAGGGGTTAACTCCTTAATAGGAATCTGTCTATATAGTTTATCCCATACAACTGGGATTGTCCACATATTTTGGAGGTGATAGAGACATATTCATATTCCTCCTATTCATAATTAAAAATGTTAAGTCAAGTCCATGTGTCCAATCATTTTTTTGCTTACCCATTCAACATTTCATAAGCACATGTGTATTTGCAAGTTTTGAAGAGAAGGGTCAACTTGCATAGGGCTGTGAATCAGCTAATGGACACCATGCATGCCGAGTAGGTGGGGGTAATAGGAATATAAAGACTGTGAGCCACAATTGGAACCTGTGCTGCAGTTAATTGAACCTGGGAAAGTTTAATCATATAGACCAGGGGTAGTCAACCTTTTTCTACCTACCGCCCACTAATGCATCTTTCTTCAAGGAAGAATTTCCTTACCGCCCACCAGTTTCCGATATTTTTTTTAGCGCAAGTGCAGACATTTTTTTAGAAAGGAGGGTATTAAAAACAAAAACAAATTCAATTATCTTTTTATTTGTACTTTATGCATGTTTATAATGTTTTTAACTTTGTAAAGTTTAATGAGAAAACAATAAAGTAAATTGAAATTACCTTTAACTAGTGATTAATGAGATCCTTGAGGTTGATGCTGCGAGACTAAATACTTGATATCTGGTTCGATTTTCATAAGGAACAAACAAAGTTCTCCTCCTTCGGTGATATTCAGAAGGTTTCTCTGTTTGCTGATAATATGATTTCTCATCCATGCACCAGCTACCCTCCTCTCCCTCCTCAATTCCACCCAACCCCCTTCCTTTGTTTTTCCTTTTTTCTATTTTTCTTCCTTTTTTTTCTCCTTTTCCTTTATTCTTTTCTTCTACCTTCCTTACAGCAATAGCCAGCAGGAAGGCTGAGCTAGGTAGTCCACTTATTATTATTATTAGCCAACAACAATTCTCTCCTTCTCCTTCCTATATTTTTTATTTTCCTTCTTTCTCCTATTTTACAAGTACTCTGCACCTTCTTTCTCCTATTTTAGAAGTACTCTGCTCCCTGCTACTGTGAATCCCCCTACTCCAAGTCCTCCCCTTCCTCTACCCATGTGTTACACTTGTATGCGCGCGCACGCGTTTGTACATGCGCACGCATTTGTACGTGCACACGCGTTTGTACGTGCATAAATAGAGCGTTCATCTCTCTGGATGGAGGGAGTATTCTTCTTGGGCCATAGAACCCACTACCGCCCACCTGGAATCCTGAAACGCCCACTAGAGGGTGGTAGGGACCAGGTTTACGACCACTGATATAGACAAAGGCATAAGACTGGGATTGCTTCTTATTTTTTTCTTTTTTTGGGGGTGTTATTTTTTTGGGAGGGTTAACATTTGTATCTATGCATCGGCATGTAGATCTGTTATTTACTGTTTGGATGCTGCACATCTTGAGGTGTACCAGGAGGCGTTGAGAGTAGACCTGCTTTGACAAGTGCATTTGTAATAAAAAAATGTAAATGTATTAACTGTAATACACTATTGTGGCCATATCATTCTTTTTATATAATCTAGTCTAGAAATATGGAATCTGAAGCATGAAAAGTGCATGAAAAATTTTGCTATAAAAATTTTGGGTGATTTGGAAATACACCTCTATGTATTCGCATCTTGAGATATTTTGAAGATACTATATGAAAAGTACTGCCTATGTCAATAGATAGTGAAATGCCTTTATATTCCTCTCTCTTATGACTACATTTTTAAAAGTAGCTAGTTACTATGTTAGTGGTTACTATGTTAGTGGTTAATACCCTATGAGTTTTTTATTTCTCAGTATTTTCATGTTTTTGTTTTTTCAGTATCAGTTTTCACTTGCTCAGTTAATAAAATCAACAATGACTCTCCCCTAGTCTGCAATCATATTCTCCCATCATATTTATTTGGGGGAGGGAGGCTGACTACCTCTCTCATCTAGCAGGGTTGCAATCTATCATTGGGGAGGGAGGCAGGGCCGGTGCAAGGACTTCTGTCTACACAGGCAAAGACACATTTTGCTGCCCCCAAAATTTATCTTCACCTGTCTGTCTAATATTCCCACTTTTGCCACTCTTACCAATTCTTTTGCCCCTTTTGTGCATCTTACCACCTTTTTCTCTTGTTTTCCTTTTTTGTATATCGTGTCCCTTTTTGCATTCTTTTTTATGTGTTTTGTGTCTTCATCCTACTTTTCTTTACCCCCTTGACACACTCACTCGCTCATACACACACACACTGACCGTTACACACACACACACTGACCATTATACACACACACACACACACTCTGCTTATATACACACACTGGCTCTAACGCACACAGTCTCTTACACACTTGGACGGCTTGTACACACTCACTGGCTCTAACAGACACACACAAACAGTCTCTTACACACACTGCTTATACACACTCACTGGCTGTAACACACACACAGTCTCTCAGACACACTGCTTTACACTCACACAGTCTCTTACACACACACAGCTTATAGACACACACACACTAACTCTTACACACACACACTGGCTCTAACACACACACACACTGGCTCTAACACGCACACACACACACACACTAACTCTTACATACACACACTGGCTCTAACACACACACATTAACACACACACACACACACACACCATAACTCTTACACACACACTGGCTCTAACACACACACATTAACACACACACACACACACCATAACTCTTACACACACACTGGCTCTAACACACACACATTAACTCTTTAACACACACACACACACTAACTCTTACACACACACACACTGACTCTAACACACACACATTAACTGTTACACACACACACACTAACTCTTACACACACACACACACACACAGACTTACTGTTCCTTATAGTTGCTAAACAGAGGTCCCGCTGCACTGTTGTAGCTTTCCTCCTCTCTCCACAGCAGTTGGCCACCAGGATATGATGTCATGTATCCCAGCGGCCTATAGCTCAGGAAGAGATTGGCCGCGGTTGCTCCTCGCTGCTCTGCCCCCTTTCCCTCAGTGGCTGCACGTTTCCCAGCCAGCTGATTAGATTGCTGCAGAAATTGACAGGCGGAAGCTTCTCCGAGTTCTCCGTGCTCCCGCCAGTCACTCTGACATTTTTGCGCCCCTCGAGACCGTGCGCCCTAAGGTGGCCGCTCGTGCCGCCTTATGGTAGCGCCGGCCCTGGAGGGAGGCCGACTACCTCCATTGGTTGTGGTCTGCCACTGGGGAGAGAGGCCGACAAACTCTGCTCCCTCGGTTGAGATCTGCTACTAGGGAGGCTGACAACCTCGGTGTCCTTGGTTGTAATCTGCACTGGGGAGAGAGGCCGAAATCCTCCACTCTTTTGATTATGATCTGCTGCTGGGGAGGGAGGTTGAATTCCTCTACCTCCTCTTTAAGGGTTGCCAGAAGCTTCTGGGGAGAGAGGATGAAAACCTCCACTCCCTTGGTTGTAATCGACCTCTGGGGAGGGAGCTTGACTACCTCTACCTCTTCTTGCAGGGTTGCCAGCTGCTGTGGGGGAGGGAAGCTGAAAACTTAAACTCCCTTAGTTGTGATCTGCTGCCGGGGAGGGAAGTCGACAACCTCAGCTTCATTGGTTGTGAAGTGCTGCTGGGGAGGGAAGCCAGATAACTCTACCTCCACCTTATGGTTTGAAATCTGCTTCTGGGGAGGGAGGCCAAATACCTCCCCTGCTGGGAGCTCAATCTGCTACTGGGTAGAGAGCTGCCTCTACATCCTATCGCAGGGTTGCAATCTGCTGCTATTGGGGGCAGCTACTTCCACTCCATCAATCCTTATCTGGTGCTGCAGGGCAGGTCGGCTGTAACGGATCACCTGGCACCCTGACTGGGTACCTCTGTTGAAGGATGCTCCTAGCGCTTCCTGAGGTCTCCAAGCACTCCAGCCAACACCATAACCACCGTAGACTCCTTCAGAGAGAACAACAGGAACAAGCTCTTAAAAGAGCTTAGGAGTGATTATAGCAAGGGAATATGCAGAGCATAGCAATCCCTTGTAGCAGATTCCCCCAATAAAAGACGGCACTCCAAATTGAGGGTGAAGTAGAACTGAAGCTTTTAATCAAACACTCTGCTTTTATGCCCATTTTAGAAACATAGTACCGCCCACAGGGTTTTGTAAAACAACCAATAAAATACGTACATTACAATAAAACACTCCCAGCAATTGCACACTAACACTCCCCTCTGCCTCTGATATAATTACTGAGTAATTATCACAGGCAGGAAAAATATACTTTTTACACATACACTGTATCTTTAAAAATATACATTCAATCTTCATAAATTACATATTAAAACTCAGCACACTTTAATTCAGCCAATTCCATCCAGGGGTTAAAAAGTTAGCTGGAAGTCCCTTTATGACCGACCTCACGCACATTTTCATGCCCAAAACAGTTCCAGAGATTCAAGCTGTGCGGCCGGTCTATTTCCCATGTTAAATTCAGTTCAAACAAACGAACGACAACCATTCGAATTGTCGAATTAACTGTCGAACGGCGTTCGAACTGTCGAATGGGGTTCGAATTGTCGAATGCATTGAAGTCTGGAGAAGGTAAAACTTCAGCTGAATTAAAGATGGCCGCCGCCACGTGTTTGTTTGCACGAACTACGGCCACCCAGCAGTCGGCAATTCACCTATAGCAGGCTCCCAGCCTGGGAGATAAATTGCCTGCACACTTCCCCTTCTGGGTGGTCCGCCTGTGTGGTACTTGCTTCAGTAAGCCCCATTTACTGAACCAAGTGGAATAAAGCCAGGAACACAGTATATTAACAGTCTGGGGACACTGGGGACAAAGTCTTAAAGGGGCATTGTTCCCAAAAGTCATAGTATGTCCCCAGATGGTTCTTAAAGGGCCAGCAACAGCACAATAAATTACAATATGCCCAAATACTGTATTTAAAGGGCCAAACCTCCCAGGGGCCATAGTCAGCAGGCAGGAGGTGGGCAAACAGGCTTCTCCAATGCCCAGTGGCGAGGTTGGTTTTGCCACACCGGCTACCCAGCATCCCTGTGATTTAGGTGTGGAGCACATAGTTCCCTCCACACCTACCTGACCAATATTCTTGAGGTTTCTTCTAAGTTCCTGGATGTCCCAGAATAAGAAAACCGCAGGTTTTCTGAACTCAGTCCTCTGCTTCCTACAATAGGCCAGGACCATCATAGTCCTCACCCTCTGAAGGGTCATCATTGGCTATCTGGACCACATAACAAATGTCCACCCATAAATCCCTCCAGACCAGCCTCTCAAGCTCAACCACCCAATCTTTCAGGGGTTGCTCTCCCAGAAAGGTATTCACAGATCCATTTGATCCTGAAGTCACTGTTCTGGAGTTGGGAGGAATTCTCTCCAGAGTACCTGCATCTCCTTAAGGACCTTGTCCCAGAGTTGCTTTGAATCTGGTCCCTAAAATCCAGCTTACCATTTCCAAAGACAGTGTCGTCATCACTGCAAGGTCCAGCAACTAGATTTCTGCACTCCTCAATCTGCCACTGCTCAGGTCTGGCTGGCAAGGCAGATCTGCCTCTCCAAATCAGTTGCACCATCTCTGCTGATGCATTTGCTCAAAAGAAAGCCAATGCCTCTGACGTGCTCTTCTGGAACTCATCCCTGTACAAGGATACTGCATAAGTGCTATCCATCTAGTGGTGTTTTTCAATGTTTCCCCTGTGGAGTATGGACTATGATTATTTAATGTGCAATATATACAATTTAGCATATCTTGCAGACTCTTGACATTCTACAAGGTTAGCTCAGCAATGGAATGGTTAAAGGCTTAAGTTAGCAAAAACCACATGTGCCTGTCAATCAAAATGTAAACAACACATAGGACAAAGACATAGGTTTCCTGTCAATCAAAGAGTCAACAAGACATCTTTAAAATCCTACTTTTACATTTTTTGAGCTGGTTATAGGACAGTGCTTAGTAAAGTATCTGCTGATACAACTATTCAATACATTACATTATAGAAGGAAACAAGTCATGAGGTTTTTTGAGATAAGGAAAAGGTATATTATTATAATATTTATATAGCGCCAACAAGTTCCATAGTGCTTTACAATGGGTGGACTAACAAACATGTATTTATAACCAGACAAGTTTGACACACAGAAACAAAGGGGTTAAGGGCCCTACTCAATGAGCTTACATGCTAGAGGCTGTAGAGTAAACTGACACAAAAGGTAAGGGAAGTATTAGGGAAGTCGATTGGAGTAGATTGGAATAGTATTCAGACTTAGTGTGGTTTTTTTTGGAGCCATTAAAAGTTTAATTGATATGCTTTTGGGGAAAAGTGAGTTTTCAATGATTTTTTAAAGGAGTGGAGACTGGGTGAGCATTTAACGGAAAAGGGAAGGGAGTTCCACAGGAACAGGGCAGCCTTAGAGAAGTCTTGAATGTGAGTATCAGAGATGGAGGTATGAACAGAGGATAGTCTAGGGGCCTAAATGAGACATACTTGTGTATTATGGATGATAGATCGGTGAGAGAAGCATTATGTAGAGCTTTGAAAGCAAGAAACAGAATTTCATATTGAGCCATATATCTTACGGGAAGCCAATGTATGGACTGAACTTTGGGGGGTACCAACAGAGAGAGAAACGCTAAAAGAGCGCTGTGTGAGGTAGGAGGAGCACCAGGAGAGAGCCATATCTCTTAGACCAAGATTACGAAGGATTAAAAGAAGCTATTAATGATCAACAGTATCAAAAGCAGGGGACAGGTCAAGGAGAATTAGGATAGAGTAGTGACCATAAGATTTTGCAGCGAGTATATCATTTGGTACTTTGGTCAGGGCCGTCACCACAGAGTGCTGAGCGCCGAAACCAGACTGAAGTGGGTCGAGCAGAGAATTGGACTCGAGGAAGTCTGTCAATCTCGCATCCACAAGTCATTTGAGGATCTTGGATGCAAAAGGCAGTAGTGAGATAGTCAGTTACCTTACCTTGGACATGATTGCATCTTTGTTTGTTTCTAGTTGTTCCTGGTATCCTGTTCTCCTAGTGTCTAAGCCTGGACCATGCACACCTGTTCCTGATAAGTGGCTGTCATATCCCTATATAAACCCCGCCTTGGTTGTTACACATTGTCAGATCGTTTTGTTCCTGTTGGCTGTTAATCCGACTCCTGGTTTTTGATCCTCTGCTCGTCATTCGTTTTTGCCTGTCTGCTGCCTGTCCTGACTATTGGTTCCATCCCTGACTACGCTTTCTGTGATATTGATGTGCTGAGGGTGGTGTCAGGTGGGTCTTGGGTGTGCTGATGTCAAAAGTCAGCAGATGGTGGTCAGATAGAGAAAAAGTAATATTGGAGAGATTAGAGGTGGTACAGAGGTTGGTGAAGGTGAGATCAAGAGTATTTCCCACTGTATGGGTTGCTGAATTAGACCATTGCCTGAGGAAAAGGAGGAGGTTACAGAGAGCAGACGAGAGGCATCACTGCAGGTGAGGTTGTTGATTCCCCAAGTATAAGGAAAGGAGTGCTAGAGGAGAGGAATTGAGGTAGCCAGGAAGAAAAGCGCTCAATATATAGCCTAGGATGACCAGAGGGTGGTAAATGACAGCAATTATTAAAGGAGTGGGTTTAAATAGGCGGACAGTGTAAATGTCAAAGTAAGTAAAGGATAGGGCAATGGACAGCTGGACATTGTCATTCATCTATACTCATCCATCTATCACTGTAACCCTTTCTCACCCTCCCCCACTGTAACCCTTTCTCACCCTGCCCCTTCACACAGTAACCATTTTTCACTCTCCTACCCCACACTGTCAACCTTTCTCATCCCCCACATCGTTACCCTTTCTCACTCCTACACATTGTCAATCTTTCTCACACTGCCCCTACACTGTCACCAGCACACACACACTCCTTCCCACACGGTCACCCTCACCTCTCCCACACACTGTCACCCTCACCTCCTGTCTCTGTGTGTATGTGTATCTGTGTGTCCATGTGTGTCTGTGTACATGAGTGTCTGTGTATCTGTGTGTGGGAAACTAGGTGTAATTTTGTGTGTTCCTGTGTGTATTGCTGTGTCAGTGTGTATTTTTGTGTGTGTGTGTATATGTATATGTGTTTCAGTGTGTGGAGGTATACAGACTGCACACAAATGCACACCAACATTCACACACATACTGCATACAAAAACATGCTTACATTCAAACACACATTGTGTATATGTATATTTTATATACACACTGCATCCACTACACATGCACTGCAATCAAACACAAACATTACATACAAACACAGCCCTGTATTAAAACGTTAAAATTATATACAAACACACCTTCATTCAAACAACAACACTACACACAAAAGAGCACCTGCATTTAAAGTCCAACACTACATACAAACACCCCTATATTCAGACACAAAAACTACATACAAGTACACCACTACATTCCAATGACAACAGTACAAATACCACCATACATGTACACATATACTTCATACAAAAACATGCTTACATTCAAATGCTCAAACACTGCTCACAAATACCACCCTGCAACGATGAGCAAATGGTAGATCCCCCTGGCATAGCATTGTTGAAGTTCTCCAACAGATGGGGATTCATTTTTTGGCCACACTTGCACTAGAGGGGTTC